TACCACGAGGAGGTGTACACCTGGCGAGCTCGGGCCCGCGGGTTGGACGAGCCTCTCGGCGTGGCTGTCGAGGTGGACGCCTTGGTGGGGCGGCAGCCTCAAGGGCCTTTCGACCAGGGCGAGAACCTCAGCAAGGGCGCAGAGCTCGTGGCCGGGTTGGAGCATTCCTTGTCCGGTCTCGGACGCCACGGTGGTCCTCATCTATCCCGCCGTTATCAAGCGTTGAAGGGATGGAGGCGCCGCCGTCCGCCGCGATCGCTCCGCCCCCTGGCCTTCAGCATCTGGGCGGCCAACATTTGGGAGCTGTGCCGCGCCAGTTGCTGGAGCACGAAGGTCTACGCGCCGTTCATGCCAGTGACCTACATGCGGCCGGCAGAACTGCTGAAGCCGTTGAAGGAAGATCTTTGCACCAGCGCACGGACCCTCTGCCTCATGGATCTGCTTCGCATTTCGGCAGGAGCGGGGAGCGTTGTCCCGGACATGCGCGACGGACAAGAGCATCGACCTGAGTGGCGAGTGGGTGCCCTTCCTGTCGTCGGTGCCGGCGGCGCTCCAAGCTGGGGACTCGAAGTCCAAGGTCTTCAACTTCACGTGCAGCAGCTACACGCACCAGTTCAGAATCTTCTGCGAGAAGCTCGGGCTGACGGCCGTGCCTTATCAGGCAGGGCACTCAAACTTCTCCACCGACGCCGCCATGAAGTACCGCACAAGAGCCGGGACCAAAAGCAGAACAAAAATGGAAAGCGGACAGGTCGGTGTTGAGGTACGACACGATGGCCACGGTCGCCGAGAGCGTGGGCATGCTGACCGGCTCGTTGGCGTCTCACGTGCGCAGGTGCGAGCTCCAGCTCGGGGCCCTTTTGTGCGGCCAGACCGACCCCTCGGCCATCGCGCCGCCCGTCGCCCAGAGCTCAGCCCCAAAGAAGCGACGCCGTGCCTAGCTGATCTGTTCGGCGGCACAGGCGGCGTCGGGCGCGCGGCAGGCAGGTGCGGTATCCGAGCCCGCCTGTGGGACAAGTCCATCTCTGACTCTCTGGACCTGACGGTCCTCAAGAATATCCAGCTCTTGTGCTCAGAGGCTAAAGGCAAGAAGCTCGTGGCGGTCATGATCGCTATTGAATGCCGTTCGTGGGGTGTCGCACGCCACAGAACCAATGTAATGCGCTCGCGATCCGAGCCCTGGGGTGTTACCAAGCCGGCCAAACCTTTCTCGGACAACGACGTGGGAGCTCTCAGGACTGGAAACCTCCAGGCCCGAAGGATCCTCAAGCTTATCAAGTGCATCCATGTTCTTGGTATCCCGTGGGCCGTTGAAAACCCTTCGACAAGTTTGCTTTGGTGGGTTCCTGGTTTCTTGCAATTCGCGAAGGACCCCAGGGTGTGCGTTAAGACTATCGACCAGTGTGCTTTCAGTACTCCATGGCATAAGCGTACTCAGCTCATGTTCGGCAACTGCGACCCGATCGATGTTATCATGTGTGATAAATATGTCTGCCACGGTCGAGGACAATGCTGTTTCTCAGGAAAGCCTCACGTCGAGTTGGAAGGGAAACGTATGACTGCCCAGGCCTAAACATACCCACCCCGTTTCTCCCAACTCCTGGCCAACATCCTTTTGCAGTGCAGCAGTCTACCGACGAGCCTGCCTCTATGCAATCAACTCATAAGCTCACTACCTTTCGGGGCGTTTTGGGAATCTTCTGACGCATAATGCCGAGTATATATTCTCTTGCGTTCTCATGTCCAGTTGAGGGCCAGCTCGTGAAGACGGTGACAGAGTTGATTAGACACATTGCTGATTGAAAAACAGAGTGCAGGCCTCTCGTGTTAGTGCGGAGTGTGCTGGCAAACGGGCGCTGGATTGAGGGGCCCAACGACGTGTTCACCGTGCTCCCCTGTATTCCATTATATATTTGCTCAAGCTTCCCTCCCCCCTCTCCCTCTCTTGAGCTGTGCCGTTGTTTACTCCACGTTTCAATAGGGAATCTTCTGACGCATAATGCCGAGTATATACTCTCTTGCGTTCTCATGTCCAGTTGAGGGCCAGCTCGTGAAGACGGTGGCAGAGTTGATTAGACACATTGCTGATTGAAAAACAGAGTGCAGGTCTCTCATGTATATGTATGTGATTCGGTAGTAGTAGGTGTACATGTATAGACATGTGCATGCGTATATCTACATGTTCACGATTATGTCTATGGCTATCTTTATGTATGCTGTATGTGTGCCTACAGCGCTACACATGCCGATGTATACGTGTATATACATTTGCATTTGCATATGCATACGTATATGTACACACATGTAAACGTAGATGTGCATATACATGTTTATGTTTGTGTCAATGTATATATATATATATGTATATGCATGTGTTTATGTAGATGTATAGGTGCACGGCCATGCAGATGCATATGTACATACATGTGCATGCGTATATGTATATATGTGTGTATGTGTACGTATATGTATATGTATGGTGGTGTGTATGTGTGTATGTATATGTATATGTATATGCATATGTGTCTGTGTGTGTGTATGTTCATTTGTATGTACACGTTTGTATGTATGCGTGTGTACATGTATATATGCATGTATTTTAATATGCATATGCGCATGCATATGTCTATGCACATGTATACGTAGCTGTGTGTATGTGTATATGGAATTGTACATGTATACGGATACGTATATGCATTTGCATATGCAGATGTATATGCATGCGTATGCGTAGGTGCACATGTATATGGACCTGCAGGTGTAGGTGTAGTTGTATGTGCAGGTGTACGTGTACGTGTACGTGTACGTGTAGGTGTAGGTGAATGTGTATGCGTGTAGACATGTGATTGCGTATGCTTATACATCGATGTATATGTGTATGTACATGTACTGTTAGTTGTGCATGTATGTGTCTATGCATCTGTATTTGTGTAGGTTTATGGACTGGTATTTGTATAGGTGTATTTATATGTATATGTTTATGTATGTGTATGTGTAGATGTATGTGTATGTGTTTGTGTTGGTGTGCGTGTATGTGTACGTGTATGTGTAAAGTCACTTGTATATGTGAGCGAATCCGTATATGTATATCCATATGTATATGTTTATGTATGTGTATATGTACATGCATATGCCTCTGAATATGCTTGTGTAGGTCTAGGTGTAGGTGTAAATGTAGGTGTAGGTGTATGTGCATATGTAAGTATATGTGTAAGTGTAAGTGTATATGTATACGTATATGCATATGTATATGTATATGTATATGTATATATACACATGCATATGTATATGTATATGTATATGTATATGTATATGTATATGTATATGTATATGTATATGTATATGTATATGTATATGTATATGTATATGTATATATGTATGTAGTTATATAGGTAGTTGTATTTGTACATGTATATATATCTCTATATATATGTATATGTATATGTACATGTACATGTATATGCATATGTATATGCATATGTATATCTATATGTATATAGAGGTGTAGGTGTAGGTGTAGGTGTGCATGTAGAGGTATGTGTATGTGTATGTGCATGTGTATACTTATAGGTATGTGTATGTGTATTTGTATACGTAGACAGTTCTGTACTTGCATAGGTGTTTTTGACTTGCATGCATATGCATACGTATGAGTATATTTTTACTTTGTATGTATACGCATATGTGTGTAGTGCAAGTGTATATGGTTACGTATATATGTATAGGTGTGTATGTATATGGTCGGCCACCCGAGCATCAAATATTTCGCCGTTCTGTTTGTTGTTCCGTCGTCTGTCCTTGCTTCGCCGTGGGCGTTTACGTCCCCTTCTCGTTGGGTCTCATCATGTGTCTGCTCCCTTCACCGCCTTCTCTCCTCTCACTCCTATTGGGCGGAGATCTCCGCTCGCCGTCCCAAGGGTAGGCCCGAAAAACAGGAGAAACAGGAAGCATATCAAATTATCCTGGCGAAGGACCCTACCATATGCAGTTGTGAGCAACGCGTTGTGCGTGCTGCTTTCGGTGGAGTTTCCTAGCAGGGCTACGAAGCGCGTGAAAGACGTGCCGTAATGGGTGGGGGAGACGCATGCGGGCGGTGCCATTGGGGCCTCCAGACCGGTTTTTCATCCCCAGTCGTTTTTTACGGTCCCGGGGCCCGGCGAGGGCCCCGAGAGGCTGAAACTTGAAAATGGCGACGATTTGTTCGCCGTTATTTTTTTCGCGACGCGAAGGGAGATACCATGCTGCTACGCGTGAAATGAGTCCCAATGATAATGGTCAATGATTGAGGCTATGCTGCCTCTTTTGATTTTGCAGCCGGCTATGATGTCCGCTCGTGCCCAACTCGTCCCTTCCTCAGGGACTTCGCATCCCCCTATGATGGTGTGACGGGAGGACGGGCCGCCACCCTCAGCACTGCACGTACGGTGCCAGGTTCGTCAGGATTTGGCCCCGCGGCCCCTATGATGGAAGCTGCGGAAGGTGTGAGGCATCATTGCGATCCTTATTGGTAAGGCCTATGATAGTCCTCACCAGTGGGGGGAAGACAGATACCCGAGAAGGGCAGTAAGGGAAACTAAACAACTGCCCCAGCCCACGCACGAGAGAGCCCACCATCAACAGGAGCGGGGGTTCCACGGGAATTACGCTGATGTTGTTGTCACTTTGCGGTGTTACGCCCCCTTCGAACATCACGCTCTTGCCCCCCTGGAGAAGGCCTTCGAGAGGCGGCACGAATCCCACGGACGCACCCCCCTGTACTCGAGCTGCTGCGCGCACTCGTCCTGGTAGTCCCAGTCGTGGTCGTCGTCGTAGCCGAAGTCGTCGTCCTCGACGTCCGTCGCTGGTGCCAAAATCTAGGGATTTGCCTCTGCAGCCCCGCAGCCACACCCCGCAGCTCCGTCGTTGGTCTGCGGCTGGAATGCGGAGCACCACGCGGCCAGGGCCGTGCCGTGCTGCACACGGCGGGCCCGCCGCGGACGTCTCTCGCGACCGCTCGGCAGGTCTTGCTGGCCGTGATGGACAACAGCAGCCAGGTCCACGGGAAGCTGCACCCGATGATAGGCGCGCGCGGCGTCCTGAAGTCAATGTCACCCCAACATGCTTACGTATACTCTATGCGGTTCGTCCCCCCAGGGACGACGCAAGCACAGAGAAATCTTGTAGTATATGCGTCGTGGCGGGCGCCTTCTGGCCACACCGCTCGGGAAACGATATACTACAAGACGGGTATACTATATGTTCGGGTCGGACGCGCGCCTCCAAGGAGAACATATAGTATTAGTATGTCTCTGTGCGTCCCATGAAGGAAGGTTCGGCTGGGTCTGGTCCTCTGATCCCCGCGCCGCCTTTTTTTCCACGCCAGACGCTCTCGCCTGGACTCTGGCCCCGGGGCCATCCACAGGTCGATTTGGCTCCGAACATGCAGCAGTAAGATTTCGGTCTCGGGCCCGTTTTTTGTGTTTTTGTAATGCTTTTTATTCGCAACCTCGGGGCTGAACGAACAAGCACGACGGATGTTGTTGTTGTTGCTTTATTTTCCGGCCTTTGTGGGCCCTCGTTGTGCCTTCGGACCGTCAAAAGACAATTCGGGATAACACGCCAGTCTTAGGGAACGGGTCGAGACCTCTTGGTGTCGGCGTTGTGTGGAACATCATGACATGACGTTGGGCGTCTGTTGGCGGGGCTAGGACCAGTATAAATTCTTGACGCTTCGCGCACCCACATTAGACGCAGTGGGACGTCTACGGGGAGCCTTCGGGCAGAAAGATCAAGCGACTCCAAGTCACCCTGGGAGCGATGTTCACAGGCGCCTGGCACGCGTTCGTCCAAAAACACGCCTTACCCGGCTCCAGAGCAGTACACGACCCGCTCAGGCACGATCAGCAAACGTGCGTTAGCTTCTTGGACTCTTTCCGCCACCACAAAGGGGATGCACGGTCCATGCACGACGCGCTGCACCTCGGGGTTGATTGGAAACAGCTGCGCGAGCGGTACTGGTGGCGTGGCTGGCACGGATAAGGAAGGCGGGCCCCGCCGCGGAGACAGGCGCCCTTGGTCCAGGCGAGCAGCCGCGCTCCAGGACGGCCACGGAACCTGGGGGAGGAGCGTTCCTAGGCGTAGCCCTGGTTCCGCCACCAAACATTTGCAGCGTGCTCCTGGGGTTCGCCCTCACCACCCGCTGTCGCAGCAGCACTCCCACGGCGGAACCGCCACTCCTGGACTTGTTTCGTAGCATGCAGCCGCTCCGCGGGCAGCCCAACACGAGCTGCCCCTGGTCGCGCTGCAGCCCGTTGCCGACGCGAGGTGTCCCCTCTCTCTGCTCAGCATGTGCAGTCAGTCTGCCTGTGCTTGCCCCCGCTTGGGGGGCCTCTGACCCGCCCGCTGGAGGGCGCGGAGCAGCCGTCGCCGGGCCAACCCCGCTTCCTCGCGCAGCACCACTCCACTGCGTTGTCGGGCCCGACTACGCGTTCTACTACCTGGGGACCTGGAGGCTTGTCTCCTCGGCGTCCGCTTGGCGCGACCTCCTCGCGTTGCCCACGCCAGCCCCTCGGTGTCGTTCACGCTGCGACCCCGTTCCTCGGCGAGATGCGCGTGGAGGATCAGGGGTGCGTGCAGATGCCTGGAGGCGACATGGATGGCCCATCCGAGCGGGGAGCATCAACTTTTCGCCAGCTGGATTTCGGCGCTGCTGCGGCCTCATCGCACAAGGATGATGAGCCTGCCACGATGGCCGGTATTGCTGCTCTCCTTCAGCAGCAACTGGGCCCTGTGACCTCGTTTGTGGAGGAGCTCAAGAAACGGTTCGTGAAGCTCGACGGCGAAGTCGCGGATTTGGGTACTTCCGTCTTGGGCCGCTTGGACGACGTGGACGCGAAGCTGATCGACGCGGATATGCGCATAGAGAAATTTGAGAGCATCTACGCGGCCATGCAGGCCCCCCCCCAGCGCCGCGGAGATCGACGCGAAGATCCAGGAGAGCATCCAGCAGGCCTTCGCGCACCAGGCCTCCCAGCAGGTGCCTCACACCATGAACATCCCGCTGGTCGACAAGAAGGCGGTCACCATGGTGATCGGCAATCTTGACTACTTCGGGGATTTGTCGACGGCATCCGAGTGGTTGCAGGGCGAGCTCACTGCCTTGAAGGGGCCTGTAGGGGCATCCTCTTCGCCGAGTTCGCCAACGCAGCAGCAGGGCGTGGCCGGGCGGTGGCGCTCCTCCGCGGTGCGGCCCTCGCCGGCGGAGACAAGGAGGCCTGGGCCACGGAAGACCGATCTGCTTCCGAACGTGCTGCGAGGAATTTCAGCTTGGGCCTCAAGCGGGCCCTGAATGAGGAGTTGGAGGTCCCGCACAACATTTCGTTCAACAGTGTGGCGCCGTACGTGTTCGAGGTGGGAGGCGAGCGCGCGCTCGCCGCGAGCATCGCCGGCGCCACCGTGAACTACGAATGACAGGGGTAGGGGGCTACTTGGTCCGAGCTCCACAGCCACGCCTCGATCATGGACCTGATAAAGAAGTCTGATGATCTGCTCTTGCGGGCTACGCAGGGGCTCAAGGGAGGCGCTAAGGGATGCTCAAGGGGGCAGCGGTCCCATTAGGAAAGACGGCACATGAGCAATTGCTAGGAAAGACGGCCGTACTGCGGCAATGTGAGATAATCGAATTCAGTCTTCCAGCTCTTGCATAGCATGTTCTCCAGCAGTCGGCGCTACTGCTACCACCTCCTCCCTTGCATCCCCAGCTTCCGAGGCATTGTGCTTCTGAGGCGGCGCCCTGCGGCCGCGCTCCCAGCAGCTCCGACTAGCAACGTGGAGCGTTGAGGGCTTCACCGAGGCGAAGCATGCGTAACTTGAGTGGCATGTGACATCCGTGCGCATCGACGTGCAGTGCGTCCAAGAGACGCACGAGACGGGGGCGGAGTCTCCGTCTCTGACGCTGGATTTTTCATCGCCCTGTCCAGCGCTTCATGACAGTGAGACGGGGGGTGGGTTTTATCGTGTCGCCGCGCGTCCGCCCGTCCGTCGTGGGGTTCAGACAGCAGGACTCCCGGATGGCGTCCTTCAAGTTGCGCGTGAAGGGCGACAAGATCAAGAGCCATACCGCGTGGCATCCCCATGGCGGCAAGAACTTCGAAGACAGGCGGCAATATTGCTCCTAACCTCGGCGCTTTCATCGGCATTGGTTCCCCGCGCGGCCCCGCCCTGGTCCTAGGAGACTTCAACGCGCGACTTCGCCGCCGGTGCCCCGGCGAAGGGCGCGTCGTCGGACCGCGCGTCTCCGGGGCCCCGCGCGCTCTATGTAACGCTTCGTCCAATCGGGGCGCCACCGCCGAGCTCTGCATGAATCAGGAGCTTTTCGTTGGACACGCGCTTTTCCGCAAGCCACCGGACAACAGATCGCGCGATGCAACGTGGGCGAGAGAGCTGCGGTTCAACCTGCGCCGGATAAATTCGGACAAATCGATCTCGCTCTCACGTCGCAGGGCTGGGCCCATCATCTCAAAGACGTACGTGGCGACCGAAGCCGAGCGCTGGCCTCCCATCGCTTCTTGGTTTGTGCCGACCTCGACATAGAAGTACCGTCGCACAAGAAAACCCGCGATTCACGACTGGACTTGCAGACCCTCTGGGGCCCCCCCAGGGCGGTCGCCTTCGCGAAGGCTTCCGGCGAGGCAGCGGGCGCGGCGACAGAGGGCCTGGCGGCGCACGAGTTTGGAGGCGACTATGCGGCCAGCCTCTTGCGCTGCCGCTGCCACCGCTATCCCGGAAGTCACGGCCTCGCCGAGGAAGCCCTGGGTCTCGCCGCGCACCCTCTCGCTGATCGAGCATAGAACCGCCGCCCGCTGCTCTAGGCATATAGACGAAGGGCGCCGTCTGCGCGTGGGGAGGTGAAGAAGTCGGTCAAGGATGACAGGTCGGCGTGGCTCGGCAATCTGCTGGGGGCGGGCGACTGGGGCCAGGTCCGCAAGCTCAGCAGAGGCTTCGCTCCAGCGCGGCATGGGGTCTTCGCGGCATGGGCGGCGCAGTGGTGCAGTCGGGCCAGAGAGCTGGCGCGATGGCCGACTATCGGCGCGATGTTCAATGGGCCCCCCGCGCAGCGACGCCGATGGTGCCCGATCCGATTGGTCCGGAGCTGGAGGTCTAGACGGGCGCCATCGCCGTGGAGGAAGTCGTCGAAGCGGCGCGGCGCATGCGTAGGGGCAAGGCTTGCGGCCAGGTCGGCGTCCCAGGGGAGTTTTCGGAAAGCCATTTGCGTGCGCGCTGGGCCCGGGAAGGGCTGGGCGCTCGCATTGTGTCAGAATTGCTGGAGAGACGGGTGCGTTCCAGACGCTTGGCATGAAGATCTCGTGGCTTCGATGTTCGAAAACGGGGATGGCTCACATTTCTAACTACAGGCCGATTTGTCTTCTACAAGCCGGATGTAAGGTACGCGCCAGGATCATCCTGCACCGCTTGAAGGCCGCCGGGGCGTGGGCCAGGATCTGGCGGGCGCAGTTCGGCTTCGAGCACGGAACAGCCAGCGCCATTTTCTCAGCACGGCGCCTCTTGGAGGGGCCCTGTGCGTCGCAAAACTCCCCGCTGATCTTGCTCGCGCTGGGCTGGGGCAAGGCGTCTGACAGTGTAATGCCGGATGCTCTCCTTGAAGCGCTGCGCCGGTTCGGCTTGCCGCCGGAGGTGCTGGTCGCCGTGCGCGCCATCTACTCAGACCGGATCTTCGCGGTGAAGGACTGTGGGCTCACCTCGACAGAGCGAGGGCAGAGAGCGGGCATCTGCTACGGGTGTCCGTTATCACTTTTTCTGTCTGTGGTGGTCATGACGGTGCTCTTGAGCGACAGTGAGCGCAGTCTCGGGGGCCCGTCGGGCCTGGCGGGCGAGCTGGTGCACGCGGGCGACGCGCTCATCGTCGCGAGCGCTCTCGTGCGCGCGGGGCAGTGCGTGAAGGCCGTGGAAATGGCGGGCGCCAACTGCGGCCTCAACTTGAGTTGGGGGAAGCTGGGGGTCCTATCCGCGGGCAGCGACGCTGTTAATCGCCGGCCGGGCGGGGCCGCCATCTCCCAGGAGATAAGCGTCGTCTACCTCGGCTCCGCGCTCTCCGCAGACGGGGCGATGCAAGCTGCGTTGGGCCGGCGTTTGGGGCAGGCGCGAGCATAATTAGACTTGTTGCGCCGTGTCTGGAATGGCGGCAGCACTCCCGCGAACAGGAAAATCTTCGTATATGCGGCGTGCGTGCAGACAAAACTGTTGTGCAATCTGCCCTCGTCGTGGTTTAAGCTGGGCGAGCTGGCGCGCGTCGACGCTTTCCAAGCGAAGCGCTCGCGAACAATTTTAGGCATCAAGTGTTCGTCGTCGGCCGAGTGTCGAATGAGAGCGCGCGGGTTTGCGCGCGCCGGATGGAGCTCAGCAGCGTTCTTTTGCAGCGTCAGCTCATGTATTTCTTTGATGTGGCTTGTAAGGGAGATGATCACCCATTGCATTTAGCTATTTTCAAACCGCCCCCCCTCCGTCGAGCGGAAGAGAGGCGTGGCAGACCGCGACAGACGTGGTCCGCCGAGTTGTATAAACTTGCAAGTGATGTGCGTGGCAGTCTTGAGGCTGAAATTGACCAGGTGGGCATAATCCCAGTTCGAGACTGGAAGCAGGCTGTGCGTTCATTCTGCTTGGCGCGTTAAGTGCGCCATGTTGCTCATGTGCCTTCTGACGCGCGGCTGTGACTGACTGACTGACTGACTGACTTGGGAGCTCCTTGGCGCCGCTTGGGCGTCTCTTGGGGCCATATTGGGGCCCTGTTGGGGCCCGCGAGGGGGCCTTGGAGGTGTTCTTCGGAACATCCAGGAGGATCTCGATCAGGCATGGGGGAGTCCTTAGTTAGCGTTGCCTCACTGGAGCTCTGATAGTCGCCTCTTGGGGCCTTCTTGGGGCAATCTTGGGGCTCTCTTGGGCGCTCTTGATGCCGTCTTGGGTGCCTCGTGGGGTCTCTTGCGGGCCGCTTGGGAGCCCCTTGGGGCCGCTTGGGCGTCTCTTGGTGCCATCGTGGGGCTCTGTTTGGGCCCTTGTGGGGGCCGTGGAGGTGGTGCTCTTGGGACCATCTAGGAGGATCTCGATCAGATATGGGGGGGTCCTTAAGTCGTGCCGCCCCACTGGAGCTCCCAAAATCGCCTCTTGGGGCCTTCTTGGGGCGCTCTTGGGGTGCTCTTGGGCGCGCTTCATACCGTCTTGGCGCCATCTTGGGCCCCCTTTTGGGGCCCACTTCGGCCCTCTTGAAGCCATCTTGAGACTTCGGGAGCCCGTCGGCAGCGAAGGTGCGAGAAGGCTAAACTGATTAGTTGCCCGAAGGTTTTTTGAAGCATTTTGGCTTCTTGGGGGCCTCCTGTCGAGGTTCCGAGGCCACTTGGATCCGTCTTGGACTGGTCTTGGGGTCTCTTGGAGCATTTTGGAAGCCATCTTGAGCGATCTTGCACTACCTTGGGCCATCTTGGGGTTCATCTTGGGCTGTCGGAGGCCCTCTTGTATCCATCTTGAGCCCCAAACCACGCTCTGACACCTCGCCGCCCACCCGCTCCAAGTCCAGGGGGAGGGGGTATGCTGGGGAGGGGTGCGCCCCTGCCCGACGGGGAAGCAGGGGGAGGCTTCTCGGCGAGGCCATCTTGGCCCGTCTAGGGGCCCTCTGGGGCCGTCTTGGCGCTCTCTTGAAGGCCTCTTCTGCTGTCTTGGGCCGATGTTGGGTGCCTCTTGTGCCGTGTTGGAGCGTCGAGAGTCCGAAAAGGCGACAATGCCAACATCTTCCAATATCCGATGGAAAATCAATGATTGTCGCTTTTTGGGGCCAGTGCTCTTGTAGGCCTCTTGCGACGTCTTCGAAACTTCGTGGGCCGTCTGGATGCTACTTTGGGGGCCCCTGGCCGACCTTCTGGCGAAGTTTGGCCCTCTTGGACTTTCTGTGGGGCCCACTGTAGCCCTCTTAAGCCTGGCCCCCCGCCCCCTTATTTTGCCCATCTGGAGGTCGTCCAGGGCCAGGGGGGCTGTCAAATTTCGGGTTTCGGGTCCATGTGTGTGGGGGGGGGGTTGTGTGGGGGAAGTCTCACACGTCTAGAGACCCACAAGGGGTCGGCGGACTCCCTGCCGATGCGGCCCGATCCGACGGACACTCCGATCCGATCAGATCTGTCGATTCGATATGCTGCCCGGTCTTGCCCTGCCTCGACGTCTCCTGGTCGTCGTCGTCGTCGTCGTCGTCGTCGTCGTCGTCGTCGTCGCTCCCCCTTTCGCTCTGGCCCTCCCTCCCTCCCCCCATGCCTCACCCCCTGACGTCTTCGCTCCGTGCACGACGCAAGGGTTTCAGCACTCTCCGGCCTTCGAAGGGCCCTCACCGCGCCCCGGGACCATCAACGAGCGACTCGGGATGAAAAGTCGGCTTCGGCCCAGACCTCTGAGAGGAGCCATCGGCTGCGCGCACGAGTGGCCCTTCGCCAAAGTAACCTTAGGTGCGAGCTCACATGAGTCCCCCCAGCACTGGCCTGCACGCTTGGATTTGGCGTCCCCGCGGCCCCCTAAAGCCGAGCACCAAAGCCCACTCTTGCCTAGGGTCGCCCTTGCGTGTAGCCGAAGCCACGCCGTGAGAAGAGAGCCGCGACGTCGAGCGCCTGGGGCGGCGGAGCGCCGGTCATCGGACCGTGCAGGCGCAGTCGCGCGTGAGTCCTTCGCCCCGCGCCCCTCGCTGCTGCTCTGCCGCGGCGCCGCTCGCAGGGGTCATTACCCTCGGCGACTGCGCCCTGGTCATGCTGAGGCGAGGCAGCGGCAACCGCCAGGGCCCGCTGCAGGCGACGACCCTCTCCCCACGCATCGATCGGTCGGCGCGCGCGAGCGAGCGCGTCTCGTTTTGCCTTCTCCGCCAGGGTCGCTGAGGCGGTCGCGGTTCGTGCTCGAGGCCACGGCCGCAGATTGGGGGGCACCAGCTGTACACCTACACCGATCGTGGCCAGGCCGATCCTGGGCCCAGGATGAACCTGGGGCAGGATCGGTGCAGGTGTATGGTTGGTGTCTTCCAAGCAGCGGTGCCCTTTTCCAGGGCGGCCGCGTGATGGCGCTATTGTAGCCGCGGGGCGCAGGGCACGGGATGAGGTGACGGGTTTCGCTCGGCGCCTGTGATCCGAGGGAGACAAGACAATCTCATCACACATTTTCGGAGCTCCGCGCTGCGCTGATTTCTTGGATCGCTGCCTGCCTCTCAGGCCTCTGAAAGCTTCTATTCAGGCAGTTTTTTGTCCCTCAATACATGATGGGTTTCTTTCTCTGTGTCGGGTGTGTGGTTCGGAGGCCCCCCGGAGGTCTGGTGGCCCCGCCGTCTGGCGAGGTGGACGTGGTCCCAGACCTTCGCAGGATTGATTTTTCGACCCTGGCGTTTTTCACCCATTTTGGCCTCTGGGTTTGGCTTCGGGCCCCAGGGCAGCCATGTCTTGTTCTGGGACGAACAGAGAGTCTCTCAGGACGGCCCGAGTTCCAGGGGCCCCGTCAGGCCCCAGAGCCGTCTAGTAACAGACCGTCCAGCAGGCTTGGGCAAGGCGCTGCGTAAATCTCAAGTAGGTCTCGCGGCCCCCGGCTGTGATTCGTGCGCCTGTGCGAAAGGCTGGCGGTCATCGCTGCCAGTCCAAAGTACACCTACTGCGCGCCGCGCTGACTTCCCACGCTTGTGCAGACCGTCCAGTGAGGTGGGGTCTTTGGCGCCTCCTCTGAAGACGAATAAACATAATATCAACAGGGATAAGAACAAGCGTAGCAAGGCAGGGCCTCTCGGAAGCTCACGCGCCTTGGAGAAGCCCCCCTTGTGACTTCTCGGAAGGCTCAGGGGTGTCCCAGAAGGCCAGAGGCCCTCCGAGCCTCGTGAGGAGGCCCGCCCCCTCTGCCCTGCCCCCCCGGGGCGGGGCGCCCTCTCTGGGAGAAGCGCCCCTCCCCCCCTCGGAGCAGCGGCCTCCGGCTGCCCTGCACGCGGCGGCTGCCTCCTGCACCCGGCACGGCAAGGCGCGGGCTCGCCGCGGGCTCGGCTCGGTCTCGAACCGGCCTCGGCGCGGGCTCGACGCGGAGCCGGCGCGATCATCGACGCGGTGGCTGCAGGCCTCCCATGTGGGGTCGGAGCAGGTGGGGTCGCGGCGTCGCGCCGCATCGCCGATGCATCGGCGATGCGTCGCGACGTGGAACCCGATTTTCTTTGCGCCGATGGCGGCAGCGGCGATGCACTGCCGACGTCGCCGATGCATCACCGATGCATCGGCGATGTACCGGTGATGCGGCGTGGTCCTCCGACCTCATCTACTCGGGCCTCATTTTGGAGGCCTCTCATGGGACAGACAAAGCTCCCTCGAGGATGCAACATGATCCGAGGGCAGCGACGGCGTCGGCGGCGACGACGTCGTTCTCGAGGCTTTCTTTGACCAGAAGACAAACGACACCACCCCACCTGCGGCCCCACGGGGCTTAGCGTTAAGTCGGACCTATCCCTCTACATGAGGAGTAATCAAAACTAGTCCAAACATTGTCAGAGAGCGTTTTTTTTTTTTTTTTTTTTTTTTTTTTTTTTGTTGTTTGTTTTTGTTATGTATTTTTTAGATTTTTTAGTATTTCTTTGTACTTTTTGGCCATTTTTGATGTTTCGTCCAAAATCCGCCTGTAGGGGGACAGGCCCGACCCAGGCTCAGCGGCGACCCAAGCGTGGGCATTCGAGCATGCACGCATGCACGCCACAGCCGCAGCGCACGCAGCCGATCGGCAGGCCGCGCCTCGGCTGCCGCTCCCTGCCTGGGGCCGCCCCTTGCCGGGGCTCGTTCTCGATTCCTCCGGTTCGATGCGATTCGATTTCGATGGCTTCCGATTCCGATTCGATGCGACTTGGGCGCGCCGCAGTCCAGTCTCTCCGCGCGCAGCCGCGAGATCTCAACAATGCGCTAAGTCGGCCAGCGGGGCCAGTGCCACGGCCCAGCCACTGGGGATAGGCATCGGTAGACGATGCTCATCAGTTCGATGGCTTCCGCTTCCGATTCGATTCGACTTGGAGTCCTATCTGGGTTCCTATTTTTCACAGGGGCGTACTAGCCTGCCGATGTCCGCCGATTCGGCCTTTCCCGACTTGGCTGCCGACTTCCGCCGATCTGATCCATGTCGACCGTCGATCCGACTCATCGATTCGATCCTGGGCTCTCCTGCCTTGCGCGCAGCCGAGCTCGAAAGGCCCCCCTCCTCCTCCTCCTCCTCCTCCTCCTCCTCCTCCTCCTCCTCCTCCTCCTCCTCCTCCTCCTCCTCCTCCTCCTCCTCCCCACTCCTCCTCCTCCTCCTCCTCCTCCTCCTCCTCCTCCTCCTCCTCCTCCTCCTCCTCCTCCTCCTCCTCCTCCTCCTCCTCCTCCTCTCCTCCTCCTCCTCTCCTCCTCCTCCTCCTCCTCCTCTCCTCCTCCCCCCCCCTCCCTCCTCCTCCTCCTCCTCCTCCTCCTCCTCCTCCTCCTCCTCCTCCTCCTCCTCCTCCTCCGTCTGTGAAGAGTCCCGGTGGGCGTGCGCCGTCGCTCCCCCGGAGGCGGCGCTCGGCCGGCGCGGCCGGGGAAGCCTCGGCCTCGGCTCCTGGGGGCAAGCGCCGCTCTTCTGGAGGCGGCACTCTGCGCTGCTCGGGGTTCTCTGGCCTCGGTTCTCTGCCTCCTCCTTCTCCTCCTCCTTGGGGTCCTCCTCCTCCTCCTCCTCCTCGGAGTCCTCCTCCTCCTCTGCCTCTCCTCCTCCTCCTCCTGCTCCTCCTCGGGGTCCTCGGTCAAGAGGTTCGTTGGTGCCTTCCTCGGCCAAGGAATGCCAAGCAGTGCAGAGTCGCGCAGGACTGGTGCCAAGCAAAGATTCCCCAAGGAGTGGCAAGCAGTGCACAGCCAGCGCCAGGCAGCACCAGGCAGCGCCAGGCAGCGCCAAGCAAGGCCAAGCAACGATTCCAAGCAATGCCAAACAACGTCAACCACTGCTTTGCACTGCATCTCTTTGCGCTGCTCAGACCTGCTTCGAAGTATTTTGGAGGAAATAAGTCCCCTAATTGGGGTCGCGCCGGGCTCATTGGTTTCGATCGGATGTGAGCCCTTTGTTCAGCATCTTCAGACCTACCCCCATCCCTGTTGGGAAAATCTTGGCACCGTTGTCCGACCTACCCCCAGGGTTGGGATGGATGTGCCCTCCGTCGGGTTTCGTGGCATCATCCTCCCCAACTCGAAGGGGTAGGCTGGTGGCGCTGAGGAAACCTGGCCCACTGGGGACGGGGATGTGTCTGACGCTGGTGACCTGTGCTCTATGGGTGTCCTCCGAGTGTCCGATTCGACGATCGCGAAAGCGGGCCCAGCCGCTTCTCTGAACGTTGATCCCTGCCGCGATTCCTCACGCTGCTCCCTGCCCTCCTGGCCCCTGCATCCATATGGTGGCACGATGACCGCAACTGCCAGTGGTGTCCGTGCTCCCGAGGCCCAGGTACGGTACGGTGCGCCCGACCGGCACAGTGGCCGTGTCCTGCTGCAGGCCACGGGGCAGTGAACAAATATTAAAGGAAGTTCGCATCAGAGCTTCTGCAGCAAGCAAACGGTCCTTCGGCTGAGGGTGTCTGAGCCGTCGCCTGAGCCGATTAATTGAGCCAAAATGGCTACGGACTCAAACGGGGGGAGAGGAGGGAGGAGAAATAAAAGGAAGGATGTGGAGGACGAGGAGGAGTGGTAGGAGGAGTGAGGGGAGGAGGAAAAGGAGGAGGGGAGGGATGAGGGGAGGGAGGAAGAGTAGAAGGAAGGACGATAAGGATCATGATGATTACGAGGATTTTTTACCTAACAGCGTTTGCTGATAGGTTTCTAGTAGGGTCAAAAGAGAGCATCTGGACTCCACAGGGGGGTCTGGGCGGGTGCCAGGGAGGAGAACCAGGAATCGTTGTTCGCCAACAGTCACACACTTCGTGCTCTTCGACCTCCCAGAACTCCATTCTCGGGACAC